TTCATATTTTTATTCAACTACAAAGCACGAGATAATACAAATAAAAAATCACAATTTACTATGTAGTTTGGACCCGCCTAACCAGAGTAGGTTGTTTTAATTGGTTGGCCCACTATAAACGAATGAGAATTGCAGATAAAAACAATGTACATTGTACATTTTAAACATAAGAATGATAATAAATCAGGTAAAAGGTAAGGAGGAGGTGAGGGAGTATAAAGAAAAGGGAGGATACTCAGCGTAAGGGTTGGAACAGAGGGTAACATAAGTTATTAGAATCATGTTTATGAACTACAGGGTGAAGAAGATAGTAAAGACTAAGTTTATCCACATGATACACAGTTTTTTTTTTTACAGATATAATTTGCATAACTATCTAAATAGATCTTGGCGACTTTTCTTTTGAACGATTTTGCAGATTTAGTTTCTTAAAGGGTACCGTAGTAAATCGGACATTGCCATTATTGCATTGACGATCACACTTAAAATATCAGTTACAATCCCTTCTATCCTATAATTATAAATAAACTTTTTTGTTTTGCTTAAACCTTAAAATTAAACTTGAACCTTCAGTTTAACATTTCGTTAAAAACTTAAACCTTTAGTAAAACTGAAACCTTTAATAAAACTCAAACCTTCAGTAAAATTGAAACGTAGGCATTAATTTAATTAAACCTATTGTTTAATTAAAATTAAAACCATTTTCTAAATTTAAACTTTTTACTGATTATTCAGTTAAGCTCAAACCTATTAATAACATTTTAGAGCTCTTTGCTTTTAGATTAAGTGGATAAAAGGTGACATTTTAATCTTGTTGGATTTTACAAGAAACACAAATTTATATAGTTTTATAGTCAGATAGTATATAGTTAGATGAATAGATATATAGTTATATGGATAGATAATTATATAATTATATGGATAGATACTTATATAGTTAGATGGATAGATAGTTATATAGTTATATGGATAGATAGTTATATAATTATATGGATAGATAGTTATATAGTTAGATGGTTAAAAAGTTATATAGTTATATTGTTAGATAGTTATATAATTATATGATTAGATAGTTATATAGTTATATGGATAGATAGTTATATAATTATATGGATAGATAGTTATATAGTTAGATGGTTAAAAAGTTATATAGTTATATTGATGGTTGGATGGTTGGATGGTTGGATGGTTTGATGGCTAGATGGTTGGATGGTTAGATGGTTGGATGGTTGGATGGTTGGATGGTTGGATGGTTGGATGGTTCAATGGTTGGATGGTTAGCTAGTAAGATGGTTGGATGGTTAAAGTTTGTATAGTTAAATAGTTAGATATTAAGATGTAAGGAAGTTTAAAGAGTTTGTAAATGGCAGTGGTTAAAGTTAATATTAGGTAAAGAAAGTTGATAAAAAATTGTAAAAGATCTTTGGAACAGATAGAAAACAAAATCAGGTTTACTCAAAGAAACGAAAACAGATTATTTAAGATTTTATGTAAAGCAAAGATCAAATAGTCATGAATCCTTAAAGTAAAACAAAACCTTTATTAATTCTGATTTTAAGCTAACTTGCTTAAGAATTAAAAAATAATAGAAAGAACCTAAATGCTTGCCACAAATTCTTAAATGGCAAAGGTTCTTTTTTGGGAAAAAAATTCGATGGAATTTTTCTTCAAGATAAAGAAAAAGTAAAGTTATTTAATGCTCAAACATTTTTTTATTCATAACTTATAAAGACCAAGCGTAACACAATTGAATGACCAATTTGTGCTAAGCTGTGTATTATTGACATCATTAATAAGACTGATTTTACATCACAATTACTAATTAATGTTAATTAAGTTTTCTACAATCTTAAATATCCATTTATGATAGAATATTCCCAAATACCAGAACCTAAATCTTTTAAGTCAAATAGAGCTTTAATGGCAGGGTTAAGTTTAAAAATACCTGGTGTTCTTGGAGACTGTTGAGATTCAGTTGAAAGAATTATTTGGTCTTCTTCCTCAATAGTTTCAGTTTTAGGAGCTATAGATGATCTTCTAGAACCTAGAGAATAGTTTAGTTTAGGAGCTATAGACGATCTTCTAGAACCTAGAGAATAGTTTAGTTTAGGAGATATAGATGATCTTCTAGAACCTAGAGAATACTTTAATTTAGGAGATATAGAGGATCTTCTAGAGCCTAGAGAATAGTTTAGTTTAGGAGCTATAGATGATCTTCTAGAGCCTAGAGAATAGTTAAGTTTAAGAAATATAGATGATCTTCTAGAGCCTAGAGAATAGTTTAGTTTAGAAGATATAGAGGATCTTCTAGAACCTAGAGAATAGTTAAGTTTAAGAGATATGGATGATCTTCGAGAGCCTAGAGAATAGTTTAGTTTAGGAGATATGGATGATCTTCTAGAACCTAAAGAATAGTTAAGTTTAAGAGATATAGTTTATCTTCTAGAGCCTAGAGAATAGTTTAGTCTAGGAGATATAGATGATCTTCTAGAGCCTAGAGAATAGTTCAGTTTAGGAGATATAGATGATCTTCTAGAGCCTAGAGAAGAGTTTAGTTTAAGGAGATATAGATGATCTTCTAGAGCCTAGAGAATAGTTTAGTTTAGGAGATATAGAGGATCTTCTAGAACCTAGAGAATAGTTAAGTTTAAGAGATATGGATGATCTTCTAGAGCCTAGAGAATAGTTTAGTTTAGGAGATATAGATGATCTTCTAGAACCTAAAGAATAGTTAAGTTTAAGAGATATAGATGATCTTCTAGAACCTAGAGAATAGTTTAGTTTAGGAGATATAGAGGATCTTCTAGAACCTAGAGAATAGTTTAGTTTAAGGAGATATAGTTTATCTTCTAGAACCTAGAGAATAATTTAGTTTAGGGGATATATAGGATCTTCTAGAACCTAGAGAATAGTTTAGTTTAGGAGATATAGATGATCTTCTAGAGCCTAGAGAATAGTTCAGTTTAGGAGATATAGATGATCTTCTAGAGCCTAGAGAAGTTTAGTTTAAGGAGATATAGTTTATCTTCTAGAACCTAGAGAATAATTTAGTTTAGGAGATATAGATGATCTTCTAGAGCCTAGAGAATAGTTCAGTTTAGGAGATATAGATGATCTTCTAGAGCCTAGAGAAGAGTTTAGTTTAAGGAGATATAGTTTATCTTCTAGAACCTAGGGAATAATTTAGTTTAGGGGATATACAGGATCTTCTAGAACCTAGAGAATAGTTCAGTTTAGGAGATATAGATGATCTTCTAGAGCCTAGAGAATAGTTTAGTTTAGGAGATATAGAGGATCTTCTAGAGCCTAGTGAATAGTAAACGTTTTGTCCCTAAAATATCTATCTATTTGCACATTATCATGTAAAATTTAATTCAGGTAGACCTCAAAGTCTACAAAATTTCCAAGTTCTCCACTTCCCATCAGATATTCAAAAGATGTTCTAAGCTGAATTTAATTTCCCGCAAATAAAAACTTCAGTAATAAAATCTGAACACTTTTATGCTTCGTTTGTGGAAGGTTAAAACTTTACATTTACAGTTGATTTTTAGAAAATTGTTTAGTTGTTGCNGGGGGGAGAATCAGTGCAAAAAGCATATTTCCTACTCAATGGATTTATTTTTTACCTGAGGATGATTTTCGTTGGGTTCTTCCTTCCTCCATCTTCATATGCATCTTTCCAACAAACCTGGTCGGAGTAGGAGCAGGTAGTAAACTAAACAGTAGACAACAATTCTACTAGGAGCAGGTAGTAAACTAGACAGTAGACAACAATTCTACTAGAAGCAGGTAGTAAACTATACAGTAGACAACAATTCTACTAGGAGCAGGTAGTGAACTAGACAAAAGACTTCGAGTTTTATATATCTACCAGCTTGGGAACCAATTGCTGCCCAGGTTACAAAAAGTTACTGTCCGCCGTTTACCCGCACTTGAACGATTTTAACGAGAAACTAAATTTTCGCTATTAAAGTCGACCCACTCAATTTTGAATCTCAAAACCAAGCTGAGAACATTCCCGTGGCTCTCCTGTGTACCCCAATCAAACTTAGATTATTCAATCTATCAGAATTCATAGTTTGAAACATCAAAGGACTACGACATTAAGTCGCACAGATAAAGGGATTAGAAAATCAGAGTTTGTGTCAAGGACAAAATTCCTTTAATGGGACAATTTGAGACAATTTTTATTTCTCAAAGAATCACAATTTCAATTAGATTTTTCAGATTTTAAAATAAAAAAATTAGATTTATAATTTGATTTTAAAATCTAAATTTTGATTGAATTTATTAACTCTTTTTATCTAAGCAGATTTATAATCAAGGATGTAGTTTAATTTAAATTTCTGTAGTAATTTGGATTTTGAGGTTAATATTTGGAAATGACAATTAAAAATTCCAAAGTATTTATGTTCCTGAGAAGTGCAGCCGTTGATGCTCTAACTTCTTTAACTCTTGATTCTCCTGCCTCAGTCTCCTCTTCCTAGTATTTACCAACATACTTTTCATCAAAAATTCAGAGAATTTAATAAATAAAAGTTTTAGAATTTTAAATATTTAAAGATTGAATGTTCCGGCATTTTTTTAGTCAAAATGCCTGAAAGCAATATTTCGTCTTTTAAACTTTCTTTTAAAATGGAAAATTTGCACTTCCCTCAAACTCCCGTTTTCTAATCCCTATATTTTGAAACTTGATGGTGATTAGGCTACAAATGTATAAACGATTACAAGATCAGAGTTTTCTGTACAGTGAATCCCAGATATATGATTACATAGCAAGAGTTTTTATAATGTCGTATTACATATTTAAGATCAAATGCCGCGGAAAAATGAGTTTAATATTAATATATCTATTGCATGCATTTTTATTTCAGGGCTATTAATTTACCTTGAACTAAAAATGAAAAGAATTTTCTATAGAATTATCAAAAAACTTATGACAGTCTATGTATTCATATATCTGGGATTCACTGTATTAAAAGCTAAAATTAAATTGGCCCAACAAATATTAAAATGTTTTGTTTTCATGCTTGAAAACATTTTTAATTTTTTTTAAAAAAAAGATCGTTTAGATGAATGAAAGTACTAATGGTTCCTGTTTTTCTTGATCAACAGATCTTGTTACAACCACTTCCGGTTTCTCTGTACTTGGTTTCCTAATTAGGCTTCCTAATCAACATTAGAATGGATTGTATTAACACTCTGTACTTGGTTTCCTAATTAGGCTGCCTAATCAACATTAAAATGGATTGTATTAACACTCTGTACTTGGTAGAATGCATTGTATTAACACTCTGTACTTGGTTTCTTAATCAAGCTTCCTAATCAACATTAGAATGGATTGTATTAACACTCTGTACTTGGTAACACTCTGTACTTGGTTTCCTAATTAGGCTGCCTAATCAACATTAGAATGGATTGTATTAACACTCTGTTCTTGGTTTCCTAATTAGGCTGCCTAATCAACATTAATATGGCTTGTACAGTTTCACCAAGAACTATTCGGATACATGCGAAGAATTTTTTACAATGTCATTTTCTAAACCTACGGATAATGGAATGCTGCGGATATTTAGTGTTTTAATTGAAAAATTAGGTGAAGCTCTTTCAAACAGTTCCTGCATATTTCCTGGCTATTTATTTATCTTTACAATCACTAAGATTTAGGTACAGGGTGTCCCAATAAACATGGGAATTCAGTGACGAATTCGATATCGTCTTTTTATATAATTCTTTAATTTAGTATAGTGATACCTACTGAGAAAGCTGTAATCTGTTTAAGTTTCGTCTGCTATATTCACATTTTGTTTTTTTATGTTTTGACTGCATAAGAATGTACTTTGTAAAACAAGAAAAATTGCAGTATACAAACAGAGTAAACTTGTCTGTCTTCACTGACCATCTTGTGGAGACATTATAGACACATCTTTACAGTCTTTTACCCTTTTTATAAAATAAACTCTAGCAGAAATAATAATATTATGGCTGTTGAAATTAGGTATTACAATGCTAATTCATAACAAAGACGATATCCAATTCGTCACTGAATTCCCATGATTTTTGGGACACCCTGTATAATAATATAAATCCCATTGAAAATGTGTCAAGAGAACCTTTTATTGATTTGTTTTAAGTCTCCGAAGTCCTTGGTTAAACAATATTATAGAACACATTTCTCATGACAGAAAAAACTTTAGCAAATATTGACAATCTACAAATAACATTTTCCTCCAAACCATCGAAATTTTTCACGTGTAAGATATAACGTAATTAAATATAGATTATATACTTAGTTTAGTCATTCGTATCGTATATAACTTAAACGAACAGTATCGTATGTAACTTCAACGAACAGTATCGTATGTAACTTCAACTAACATTATCGTATGAACAGTATCGTATGTAACTTCAACGAACATTATCGTATGTAACTTCAACTAACATTATCGTATGTAACTTCAACGAACAGTATCGTATGTAACTTCAACGAACAGTATCGTATGTAACTTCAACGAACACTTTTTTAAATTTCAATTAAAGGGAACTGAAGATGATTTTTTAAGTAACTCTTCGCCATGAGAGTGGCATATCCGATTGTGGTATCTCTAAAAAGTGATTTGATGCGATATCCGCTGCAGAAACAATGAAAGAAATTATCATGATGAAACATTTTACAATTAAATACCTTATAGAAGAACGATGATATCTTCCACCTTATTGATCAAATCAAAGGTACTGCTGTGAATCGAGATACTTATTTAACTTTCGGGCCTTGAAAAATCAGTAATCTATTTATCCAAAGTTTGCGGGAAAAAGTGACAAACTGCAGATCGTTTCATCTGGCCTTTTCAGAAAACTTTGAACATTTTTGCTTCATGTTTAAACTATTTTTTATTTTTAGCTTTCCCGAAAGTTAGACAGGTTAAACAGCTATATTTAAGGGAAATTTCATTCTTTTCAGGAATATAGACAGCCACAGATTAGTTTTTTGGCAGAGCAAGGAAAAATAAGCTCCTCAGAATGTTAAATGCGGATTTTGCTAAATTATTAACAACAACAAGAAAAAATTAATCAAACGTTCTCATGTTAACTAACATCCCGAATTAATCCAGCCAATCCCTAAAGGATTCTCTGTAGGTGTTGGACCAGGGGATCCAGCTCTGGAGGGATCATAGTCCAAGATGGAGGATTTCAGGCTGGATCGCCGGCTTAGATTGTTCAGGTCCTAAACATTCAGATTTTAGGCTGGATCGCCGGCTTAGATTGTTCAGGTCCTAAACATTTAGATTTCAGGATGGATCGTAAGCTCAGATTATTTAGTTCCTAAACATTAAGATTTTAGACTGGCGACTTAGATTGTTCAGGTCCTAAACATTCAGATTTAAGACTGGATCGCCGGCTTAGATTATTTAGTTCCTAAACATATAGATCGTAGGCTGGATCGTCGGTTTAGATTATTTAGCTCCTAAACATTCATATTTTAGACTAGATCGCCGGCTCAAATCAGTTCCTAAACATTCAGAGTTCAGACTAAATCGCCGGCTCAAATCAGTTCCTAAACATTTAGATTTCAGATTGGATCGTCGACTTAGATTATTTAGTTTCTAAATATTCAGATTTCAGACTGGATCGTCGACTTAGATTTTATTTTATTTAGTATCTAAATATTTAGATTTCAGACTGGATCGCCAGCTTAGATTATTTTGCTCCTAAATATTTAGATCGTAGGCTGGATCGCCGGCTAAGATTATTCAGCTACTAAACATTCAGATTTCAGACTGGATCGCCAGCTCAGATTATTTAGTTCCTAAACATTCAGATTTCAGACTGGATCGCCGGCTTAGATTATTTAGTTCCTAAAAATTTAGATTTTAGGCTGGATCGCCGGCTAAGATTATTCAGCTCCTAAACATTCAGATTTCAGACTGTATCGCCGCTTAGATTATTCAGTTCCTAAATATTTCGATCGTAGGCTGGATCGCCAGCTAAGATTATTTAGCTCCTAAACATTCAGAGTTTAGGCAGATTTAGACGTAAGGAAAATAAAAGGATTAGAGATGTGACACTTTACCATATTCCTGTATACGCCCTCAAGTGGGAACTAAAATCTCAGGGTCGAGTTTAGATCTCCATCTTATGCAGACCTACGCATAGATTTTTCCCGTGATGATCTTTACCGTGCAGAGATTACTTTAATGGGTGGATTAAGCATTAATCTTCAAATTTAAAAGTGCCCACATAGGATATCGAGATTAACCAAACTCCACGCAAAAATTCCGACCTCTGTTGAAAGATAAAGAGAATAGAAAACTTTAATTTGATGCCATTATTCCTTTACCACCTACCTGCCATTATTCCTTTACCACCTACCTGCCATTATTCCTTTACCACCTACCTGCTATTATTCCTTTACCACCTACCTGCTATTATTCCTTTACCACCTACCTGCCATTCCTGAGTTAGAATTTCGTCATTTCTTTGGTCAATGTCCTCCTCCTGTATTCACAAGAATCTAATCTTTTATGAATTCATTTTAATTCAACATTTTAACAGTTTGATTTTGAAAATGAAAATTTGTAATTAGTATCTTTTCAATATATATACATAATTACTAATTTTATTCCTATATGATGTTTCTTTACAAAGAATTAATACACATACCCTCTAATTCAATGTCTCTAAAAGATGATTTTAAAAATTTTCTCTGTAAAGATAGTTTTCCTCTGATTCACTTTCTTCCGAGCTCTGACCTTGATTGCATCCGATTTTGAGTTTTAGTTCTTCAGACTGTCTCAATTCATCCCTTAGTAATATTCAAATTTAACAAATTTATCTATGTGTATCAATGTATCCTTTTATATCTGTAATCCTGTATCCCTATATTCTGTATCCCTATATCTCTTTATCCCTTTTCCCTGTATCCTGGTATTCCTGTATCCTTGTATCCCTGTATCCTTGTATATCTGAAATCCTGTATCCCTATATTCTTTATTTCTTTATCTCTTTATCCCTTTAACCCTGTATCCTGGTATTCCTGCATCCCTGTATCCCTGTATCCTTGCATATCTGTAATCCTGTATCCATATATTCTGTATCCCTTTATCTCTTTATCCCTTTAACCTTTTATTCTGGTATCCCTGTATCCCTGTATTCCTGTATCCTTGTATCTCTGTATCCTTGTATCTCTGTATCCTTGTATATCTGTAATCCTGTATCCCTATATCCTTGTATACCATTATTTCTTCATCCCTTGAACCCTGTATCCTGGTATCCCTGTATCTCTGTATCCCTGTATATATCTATCTATACCTGTAAGAGTTGATACTGGTCCTGGATTCAGCATCCAACCTATGGCTTCGGGAATAAAGGAAATGCATGTTTTCGTAAAAAAGTAAAAACGGATAAACAACATAACAACAACATTGAAGCAACATTAAACCCCTTTAATATTCATGAACCTGGATACAATTTCAGAATTCGGTGAGTTTACTAGGTTTCCATATTAGCTAGTTTACTAGGCTTCCATACTAGCTAGTTTACTAGGCTTTACTAGCTAGTTTACTAGGCTTTCATACTAGCTAGTTTACTAGGCTTCCATACTAGCTAGTTTACTAGGCTTCCATACTAGCTAGTTTACTAGGCTTCTATACTAGCTAGTTTACTAGGTTTCCATATTAGCTAGTTTACTAGGCTACCATACTAGCTAGTTTACTAGGCTTCCATACTAGCTAGTTTACTAGGCTTCTATACTAGCTAGTTTACTAGGTTTCCATATTAGCTAGTTTACTAGGCTTCCATACTAGCTAGTTTACTAGGCTCCCATACAAGCTAGTTTAATGACAATGAAAAAAAGACTCTCGTGATTAAGAATTGAAGAAAGGAATTGTGTCTTTGCCAAAAAATTTCTAATCCGTGTATCTTTACAGCCCAAAGGTGTTAACGTTAGATTTTTCAAACTTGGATTAATTGATCCAATGGAATTCTTAGTTTAAAATATCCAAGGTCCACGACATCGGATTGCAAAAGCGTTTAAAAATGGTTTTAAAAAATAACAAAAATGTAAAAAAAATTTTTTTTTGACAAATATTAAGATATGACACATGTTTATGCATTAGTTTTTAGGGGCTTTTCTAAAATGTAGATATTAGATATGTAGCTTTAATATAAAAAAATAATGGGCTATTTAAGATTTTCTTTTAAATCCTTAAAATTACTATCTCATTTAGTAAAATTTTAACCAACTTTGAGTTAACCTGAGTTAACCAACTTTGTGTTTAAAAGGAGTATGGGCGTGGTTTTAAATGACCCCCTATTTCTATGGATTAATCCAAATATTATATATTGTATTTATGCTCGATTCTTTTAATTTTTCTTTTAATTCTTTACAAAGGCACTTACCACTTAATAAAAACACACTAGGCATAACCTTAAGTATTGGATAGTTTATTTATACGAAAGTGTGGAACCAAATCATGAGGAATGGTCAGAAAAGGAGTAAAATCCAGTTTATTTATTAAAATAATATTCAACGTTGTTCCCCCTTTTCCTTGAGTTCAGTCGATTGTTTGATGTATTTCTGAACTCTTGTCTTCTGTTAAACTTTTGGATAAAAACTTTCCTAGCAAAGTTTTATTTCTTTTAAAAAAAGTTTAAATGTATGTTTAGCAAAGAATAATGTTTTGTTCTTTTTTTCCGATCAATTATTCTAGTTTAACTATTGAAACAGATTTTAATGAACAAGAGAGAATGGATATAATGAACAAGATAAAAGTAGTTCAACTAGGTCTCCTTAGTTTAACCACAGAGAAAAGTAATTAAACTATACGTCTACCTTTTTCAACTGCAGAGCTAGTTATACCTTGATGAACTGCAGAGAGAAGTAGATCTTCTTAGTTAAACTACATAGAGAAGTAGTTCAACTAGGTCTACCTTGTTGAACTGCAGAGAGAAGTAGTTCAACTTGGTCTTCTTAGTTAAACCACAGAGATAAATAATTCAACTAGGTCTACCTTGTTGAACTGCAGAGAGAAGTAGTTTAACTAGGTCTTCTTAGTTAAACTACATAGAGAAGAAGTTCAACTAGGTCTGCTTAGTTAAACCACCGAGAGAAGATGTTCAACTAGGTCTATCTTGTTGAACTGCAGAAAGAAGTAGTTCAACTAGTTCATTCTTGTTGAACCACATTGAGAGGTAGTTCAACCAGTTCTACCTTGTTGAACTGCAGAGATAAATAGTTCAACTAGTTATACCTAGTTGAACTGCAGAGAGAAGTAGTTCAACTAGGTCTGCTTAGTTAAACTACATTGAGAAGAAGTTCAACTAGGTCTACCTTGTTGAACTGCAGAGAGAAGTAGTTTAACTAGGTCTTCTTAGTTAAACTACATAGAGAAGTAGTTTAACTAGGTCATCTTAGTTAAACCACAGAGATAAATAGTTTAAATAGGTCTACCTTGTTGAACTGCAGAGAGAAGTAGTTTGACTAGGTCTGCTTAGTTAAACTACATAGAGAAGAAGTTCAACTAGGTCTACCTAGTTGAACTGCAGAGAGAAGTAGTTTAACTAGTTCAATCTTGTTGAACCACATTGAGAGGTAGTTCAACCAGTTCTACCTTGTTGAAATGCAGGGAGAAGTGGTTCAACTAGTTCTACCTTTTTGAACTGCAGAGAGAAGAATTTCAACTAGGTCTGCTTTAAAAAACTGCGGAGAGAGGCAACTAAACTATAGGTCTGTGGAAAGGGTCCATTGAAGATTTATATATTTGTCTGGCATAGAACATCAGAAGATAATTACAGATCTGTACAGAGAACCTACACACAGATGTCAATACCTGCTCACTACCAACTGTCATCCTTCATATCATAAATAATATTCCATTCTCTGTAGCATACAGAATATATTTGCTTGAAACCAGATCTATTTGAAAAACGTTTTAAGGAATTATTGTTGATCAAGTTTCACTTAAAGCCAAGCTGATTTCTAGATTTGAAGCCCTTAAACGAGATTTGTTTCAGAAATCGTCGGAAAGGTTAGTATTTGCTGTAGAATATGATTACTTATAGACGTCCTAGTAATCTATGGTACGAACTTATTAAAGCTAGTATTCTTGAGCCAAGGACTCAGAGACCTGAGCTGGGAACTTTAGAATGATGGATATCAGAATTAATGCTTAATCCTCTCTTTTTGCTAATCTCGAGACTAACATAATCTCGAGATTATGTTAGTCTCGAGATTAAAAAATCATATCAACAAATTTGATTCTAGGAACGCCAGATTTGTTCGTTTTCTCCACTTAATTTCTCACTCTTTTATTTATTAATACATTAGTTAAAATTAGTTAAAAAGAATCTCAAACGTATTATTAAATATTTTTCTTCACCGATTAATTTACAAAATGGTCGACAACAAATTCTTTATTTGTTATAAATTGCAGATTTCTCTCATGGGATAGAATGTATTTTCAAGGCTGGCATTGGTCAATACAATTTACGAACTATATTCCTGCACTCTCTTTGGAGAAAACAATGTACGGATATCCAAAGAGAGAGAAAAAGTGGATTAAGGACTAAAATAAAAGGTTCCACAGTGGATATTCGGATTAAGTAGTTGGGATTAAAGGTTATCAGTTGACCAGTGTCTCCCCAATTTAAATTGTTATAAATTGTATAAATGTTTTTTTTTCTTTAAATGATTCTGTAATATTTGATATTGCCTTTTTTTAGTACTGATGAGGACTTCATAGAAATGTCGAAATATATTTACTGAAAAAGTGGTCTCCATCTTTTATTTGTAATCTGGTTTGGTTCAAATTCCACCAACTATAAACTAGGTCTTACAGGATGAACTACTTTTACGCCGGCTTGAGAGCTATTCCGGAACGTTGGATCAGTTCAAAACGGTAAAACTTTTCTTCCTTTTCATTAATCCCAACCTCAGAACAAATACCCGAAGCGGTGTTTTTATTGATCTGAGAATCAAATTAGAAAAACTGAATCAAACTGTATGATATAACAATTACTAAAGTTTTTTTATAGGATATTTTTGTGTTTTGTAAATTGGTCATTTTAAGTTTTCCTTAAAAGTGTGTCTTTTTCAAAAGAAGGTTTAAGAATATTATTTCAATAAGAAATAAATTCCTGTTGTAATCACTGGCTCGGTTTTCTTTTGCAGTTATTTTACTTGATAATTTCAAGTTACACTCCAGAGCCCTATCCACTCCTAAACATAATACAATATGGACTCCAGACCTCTATATACTCCTAAACATAATACAATATGGACTCCAGAGCCCTATCAACTCCTTAACATAATACAATCTGGACTCCAGAGCCCTATCCACTCCTAAACATAATACAATATTGACTCCAGAGCCATATCCACTCCTAAACATAATACAATCTGGACTCCAGAGCCCTATCCACTCCTAAACATAATACAATATGTACTCCAGACCTCTATATACTCCTAAACATAATACAATCTGGACTCCAGAGCCCTATCCACTCCTAAACATAATACAATATGGACTCTAGAGCCCTATCAGCTCATAAACATAATACAATCTGGACTCCAGAGCCCTATCCACTCCTAAACATAATACAATATGGACTCCAGAGCCATATCCACTCCTAAACATAATACAATCTGGACTCCAGAGCCCTATCCACTTCTAAACATAATACAATATGGACTCCAGACCTCTATATACTCCTAAACATAATACAATATTGACTCCAGAGCCCTATCCACTACTAAACATAATACAATATGGACTCCAGACCTCTATATACTCCTAAACATAATAAAATTTGGACTCCAGAGCCATATCCACTCCTAAACATAATACAATCTGGACTCCAGAGCCCTATCCACTCCTAAACATAATACAATATGGACTCTAGATCTTTATAAACTCCTAAACATAATAAAATATGGACTCCAGACCTCTATATGTAGTAAATGCTCTACTCCACAAGGATTTCTCAAGCCCGTATCTATCCAGGTACAACTCGTCAGCTATCAATGTCCACACGGACACAAGCTTTTAATCGATCAATACCAAACCAATGGGCACGATCTCAGCTCGTATATTTCAACACGGACCAGCTATCAATGTCAACAGGGACACAAGCTTTCAACTATTAATGGCAAACAATGGGCACGATCTGGTAAGCTATCGATATCAATCAGAAGCTCGTAACTATCAATGTCAAACCAATGGGCACGATCCTCAACTTGTTTGTTTAAAACAGGGGTCGAGTACTCTCTCACAGCAAACAGTTTGGAGTCTCTATATCAACTAGAACTGTATTTGGATTCTACATTGAAGAATAAGTATTAACAGGCGTAATTATGTTAAGTTATGCGTCGTTATATATAACGTAGTTAAGCTAATCACAATATGGATTTGAAGGAGTTATAAATATATATACGTATATAGGTTGGGTTAATTGGAATACATGATTTGTGTATTTACTAATGAGTGCATTTAGATCTGTAGACAATGTACAACGTAATTTATCTAGATTACTATGGGCTTCTGTATTCATGATATATATACTCTTAACCATAATACAATATGGACTCCAGACCTCTATATACTCCTAAACATAATACAACATGAACAATTTATTGACCTGGATTAAGTTTAAGTATGGTTCTTGCAAGGTTAGAATTGGAGAGAGGGCCTCCTTTCATCTTCATCCTTGATCAGGTGGCAAACGTCTATTCTCTAACTATAGGGCTGGGAGAGTTGATAGAATTTGTTGTTAACGAAAACATTATTCTAAAAAATTAAAGCAGTCAAAAAAACCGTTTTTCTTGAGAATTTGAATGGTCAAATGATCGAAAGTGGAAGGATTAAAGGAAAGTGAAATGGTCGCAAAAAGAGAAACACTAGAAAAAAATATGATCAAGAGAAAGTGGGACAACTTACAAAGGAAGTTAGAACGATTTTACTAAATGTAATAATAAAAGATCAAAGTGGGACAATTTACAAAGGAAGTTAGAACGATTTTACTAAATGTAATAATAAAAGATCAAAGTGGGACAATTTACAAAGGAAGTTAGAACGATTTTACTAAATGTAATAATAGAAGATCAAAGTGGAACGGGAAAAATTGGAACGCTTGAAAACGTCAGAAGAAAGTGGAACGATCAAAAGAAAGTGAATCAATGGAAAGAACAAGGATTAAAATATAAAATGATCAAAAGGAAGTGGAACGTACAAAAGAAAATGGAAAGAAAATATCTATTAAATTCAAATAAAAACTGATTTGTTTTAATTTTTATGAGAACGAACGTGGAACTTAAGATGTATCTATCAATTAAAGATCACAGCCCACCTCTACCATCTATTCCTTTTCTGAAAGAAAACTTTATACTTTTGAAATTATCATTCAAGGAACAATAAAATCTGGTGGTCTGAAAAGTCATACATTTTCGGATCAACAGTTCCTTAAATTATTCCATTTCCAAATATTTCAAGACAATGTAATAAGGACAGAGATCAGAGACAGAAGGGAATCGGTGTTATAGGTATAGATCATGTAGTGACATACATTATACATAGCAAAAATACGGGTTGCGGCATCTGTTTATATACAGTGTACACAGATCTGGGATATGTAAACAGTAGACAGTAAATTTTGAACATCATGCGATACTGTTCTGTGGTTAACTGTACCACAAATGGTTCCCTCTTCTTCAAATGTACTTGTTAACCTTTTTGTGCAGTGATAAGGGGTCTGTACAATTCCCTTGTACAAACTGTCTACCAGCATTCTATACTCTACCCTTTCTCCGGTTTTCCCCCCTTTATAATACATTTTAGAACTTAATTTGCATTAAATTATGTTTACTATTAATTTTAAATGTTTTAACAGTGCTTTTGATGTCAAACGTTAGTGTTAAATGGGAGATGAACCGTGGACTGACGCTTGACCCAGCTTCTTATAGCAAAGATTGTATGCCGGGTCCATTAGCGCCTGATACAATCAGGGTTCAGTCATGTGTTTGAACCAATAGAAATAGTATAGCGGTAACATCTATCTTTCTATCAATCTCACTATCCAATTAAAGTTATGAATCTGCGCTATCAGTAAATGGAAATATTTACTTCTACTGAAACTATGGTGACTAGAGTGACCGCCTAACTTCACTTGAAACTGAGCCCGGTCTAACTCACTACAGCGATAACCAGAAAACAATGGAATAGGTAGACGACATTACAGCAATACTTGCTGCTACAAAGCAAATAGTTTACTAAAGACACTTAATAAATCATTAATTTAGTTTAATGGTTCTTTTTACGCTGCACAATTACAGTGTCTCGTGCTCCTTGGACTTTCAAAAGTTATAACTTGATTCTAAAAGTCGTCTTCCTATTCCAAAGTTTTCTGGTTATAACTGTAGTCAAAGTTTTAAAATTTAAATAATGCAATGAATATAAATATAGAGAAAGCAATGATGTAGAAATATTGCAAAATTTGGACGGATATATGAATATTTAGATTACATAAATATGAAAAGGTATACCTTAAACTGTAATTCCTAGGGATAAGCAGATTTATGTTTTATGCCTTTTAAATCAAATCTTTAAAACTCAATTTTTAAATACTAATCAAAGGTTTGTAATGATGGAAAATAAAAAAGTTTAATTTCACAAAATCTAAATTTATATTTTACATTTTTTATTTAAATGTATTTTTTATTTTTTAAATTTATGTCATAGAAGCGATGCATAGACCTAAGTGCAGTGTTCTCTTCTTTTTAACATGGTGAAATCATTTAAACTCTTGAAAAAAGAAGATAAGAGGCTTTAGAAGTACATTTTCTGCTTCTAGATATAAAGGCATGATAAATAACGAGTGTATAAAAGGAGAGGAAGATGAGCTATAGGTCTTTTCTTGTTCCTGGATCCGACTTTACTGATTTGCGGATTTTATTATCCTCTTTCGGGGATTTCATTCTCTACAAGGCTAGCATTTTGAATGATGAAATGCACGCCTGGAGGAACAATAGCTCTTTCAGAAAAAAAGGAAATTTACAGAGACAAATGTTGAAACTTACCCTGTAAAAAGTTTTAAATTTTTTTATTTCGTTCTTATAAATTTGTTGGCTTTTGTTTCACTATATAAAACAGTTAATCGTATCAGGGGCGTATACAGGATTTTTCAGGGGGCACCTTTTTAACATTCCTGGCCTAGCCCCTATAGCCACCCTCTTTTTGCAAATAACTAAATTTATTACCTCGACCCTCTTAAAATTGCACAACCATATTGCACTAAATGTCGTCTTTGCAATAAATTTGTTGCAATTTGTTAAAACTATTCTTAAAGAAATAATTTCCAATCCAATGTTTTGTTGCCTGGGTATCCAAGGGAAAACTGCCTGAATTCTGCCTGATTTTCATGCAGCAGGAGGGGGGGAGTGTCTCTGAAGGGAAGGGGGGGGGAAGCCTCTGCGGTGGAATTAAGGGAGGGGGAAATTGCTGCCATAAACTTGTTGAGGGTTTCTCCTGGGGAATAAGTTTCATTGCGAGGCTTGTATTTTTACCATTTCTAGGAGGAATAACTTTACTTTAGAATTGCGGATATTGAGATCAATCTCCTCTTATCATTCATTTCAAGATTTATCTATAATCTTTTATAGTTTGAATCCGGAAAAGTGTGTAAAACTCAACCAATTTGAGTGGCGTATCAATTTAAAATTTAAACAAACGAGACGGAAGAAAATCGCTCATTAATTTTGAAAAACTGGTTTTTGATTTGTCTGTACTTAAAAAAAATTAAGCGATCGGGATTATACTATTTTAAGGATATCCCATTCTAATGTTTTCTGCTCAGGAAACTTGTAAAAAACATTCACTGTAAACCAAGATGTGTGCACACTCTCTTACAAAAATCTGGCAGTATTTTGCCAATAACTTCTTTTAAACTTAAGCTAGAAACATTGAAATTTTGGAATATATATGTCTAGGGCTACAACTATGTATAAGAAAGTTGGTGAGGTAAAATCAAAAGCCAATGCGTTACGAAACTTTAATGTCAAGGATGTCTAAAACTTTAAAGTCAAGGATGTCTAAAATTTTAAAGTCAAGGATGTCTAAAACTTTAAAGTCAAGGATGTCTAAAACTTTAAAGTCAAGGATGTCTAAAGCTTTAAAGAAGGATGTCTAAAACTTTAAAGTCAAGGATATCTAAAACTTTAAATTCAAGGATGTCTAAAACTTTAAAGTCAAGGATGTCTAAAACTTTAAAGTCAAGGATGTCTAAAAGTTGATGAATAACTTTCAGAGTTGTCTAAATTTCGACATATCGAACACTCTGTGAGAATTGAAAAACAGATGTTTTCTTTTCATTGGCTGAATTGATAGCGTCCAGGCAGTAAGGAATAGAAGGGAGATATAACTGACGCGGTTCGGCCTACCATATGATTATACATGCGTTGCAGACGGGTACTCCATTTGTACACTCTCAGTACAGCTGTACTCTGACGTCATAAGTGTCAATTTAGTTTTTGTGTCCGACAAAATTATTAATAAAATGCTTATTTTACGGTAAAAAAGTGCAATTTTGTGTTCTCTTTTTTCTTTTTTTACACTTTTCTATTTAATCTTGGAAAACCTGACAACTAATGTGATAAAATTTCTTTTTCCTTGTTATATTTGACACTTGTGACGTCTCGTATAATTTCTCCATTTCTCTGTTGCCACCTATTGTACTTGTTTATCTATTTGAGTCAACCTATAATGTTACAGAAATTAATCAAATTGAAATCCAATCCCAATTTAATCTCTCACAGATCATTCAATATTCATTTATCATTATATTAAGCAAATTAGACTTAAGTGGCCACAGTAATTCAAGGTGTACACTGTACATGCTCTCATGCTTAAAGGAATTGAGTCTTTGCCACAAACTCTGATTTTCGAATCCCTATATCTTTTCAACCCAATGTCGGTGACTTTGATATTTCAAACTATTAATTCTGTTTGATCGATACCTAAGTTTGAAATATCAAAGATTTACACCATCAGGTTGGAAGGATATAGAGATTACAAAACTTGAGTTTGTGGTAAATACTCAGTTCCTTTATCAGCATTTTGCTAATTACTTCTTTAAACTAAAACTAGCAACAATCGCATTGTAGCTATTAAATGTGCATGTGCAATTATAAGTGAGTTTTTAATACAACAAAAGAACAAGGGGTTGTTACACTTCAAGGTCTACCCGACCTTGAACATTGATGCATAATGTTCAGAACTATCTGAATCTCTGTGGAGCTTTTTATTAAAAATTTATCGTTTAGCTTGTAAAAATGAATGAAATCAATGTATATATTTGAATGTGTGAAAATAGGCTTGATATTTATGGCTTATCAACAATTGTTTAGTAATATTTTACTCGTAAAGAAATTGAGTCTTTGCCACAAACTCTGGTTTTCTAATTCCTATAATATTTGAAACTTAATGTCAAAGACCTTAGATATTTCAACCTATGAACTCTGTTAAATCAAATAATCTAACTTTGAAATAATATGTGAAAAAAATTAATTCCTGTTTCGTTTTTAGAATACACTCTCTCTACTAGCAAAATTTTCAACAACATTTATTACAGTAAACATACATAGTTTTAACTATTGACGAAGGATTTCGTTATAATATAATCTATAGGGAATCCAAATACAGATAATAATAAAATGATAATTTATTTAACTTTGTTTTGTATCCCGCTGGGGGGGGGGTCAATTTGACCCCCCCCCTGTAGTTTTTTTTACATAACTCAAAAAGTATTGGTCTGAGGCTGTTGAAATTTTCTGACTACACCAGGCGCCGCAAATCACAATTTTTTTTGACTCACCCTTTATATATATATATATATATATATATATTATCAGGGTGAATATATTAAACTTTACGTATTGATATGAGGGAAAAAGGTTGAAAATTAAATCTACCTTTTTTTAAAAGTATAAAATATCTTCAAATATGAAAAGGCTTTCTTGCAAGATAAATGGGAATACGACAGAATTAAAGTTTATAGGGAATGTATTATTTGTTGGCTTTAAATTCCATTTTTTTTCCATCTAAAATTTGTTAACTTGCCATTACAATATTTTAAAAGGCGACTCCGGAATTTTTTTCTGTTTTACATTCTGCAAAAAAAAATAACATATCATTTTGCCAAAAAAAAAAAATTTCTTTATTAGAAAAGTTAGATAAAAGTTAAATAAAGAAAAGTTTGTTAGACTGGCTCTATTTTTCTTTAGCAGAGTCACATTCATAGCAATATATATTTTCTCTTTTTCTTTTTATCTCTATAACAGAAAATATTTTATTAACAGTTATGACGTTTTTATCTTGGGGTTTGGGGTTAGTTTAGGCGGAGTTAATGATATCTTCAGTATCCAGGGTTGGATCTCTGCAACATTTCAAATTAGTCGCTTCTCGGTCATCAAAAGTTTTATATTAAACTTGTAAAAAAAAACTTTCTAAAAGTTTGATCCAAATGACAAAAAATTCTGTAAATATTAACAAACTTTGGAAATGAAATGATAAATACTAAAAGGAAAAAATATCAGATTACAATAACCAATGATAAAAATAGTTATTTTTTTGTTAAAGTTTAGTAACTTATTCATGACTAGCTGAGGTGCCCTGTGTTGCCAGTGGAATTTTAAAAAAAAATTTGTTTTTGAAAGTTTTGAATTTGTTTAGTCTTGTTACTCCCAGGGTACCCATGAGTTGCCTCAAAAAAAATCGGCAAATTTGGTTTAGCCGTTTAGCCAGCTATAGCTTATATATATATCAGGGACGAGCTTTATTCTGTAGATTAAGAAATATTTTTTTTATTTGTCTGATCAGTGGAATGAATTGAAGGGAGTGACCGGCTGTGTAAGGTAGTTGAACTGATTATGCAGTGTTGTCGAAAACTTCTTTCGGATTAATTTAATAATTTAAAAAAAAACTAATTCTGAAAACGTATTCACCCCCAAAGTAGGAGTTTTGAACATCGAATTTGCGCTCAAACTCAGGATTTACAGATCTTTAAAAAGTTGTATATATATATATATATATATGTCTCAAATGAATCCGAAAGAAGTTTTCCACAACACTGCATACTCAGTTCAACTACCTTACATAGCCGGTCTTTAAGAAAAAATAATTTGAATGTTCCTGTTTTTGATGCTGAGAACCATATTGCAGAACGGACAGGTCACGTTATCACAACCACACTAAAATATCAATAAATTAACGAATTGAGTCTTTGCCACAAACTTTGATTTTCTACTTCCTATATTTTTTGCAACCGAATGCCGTAGACCTTAGATATTTCAAACTATGAATTCTGTTAGATCAAATAATCTAAGTTTACACCATTAGGTTGCTAAGATATAAGGATTAGAAAAGTTGAGTTTGTGGCAAAGACTCAATTTAATTTTCAAGTTTCCTACGGAAAGCTGTGCTGCTATGAATGAATGAAGATGAAAGAAGTGCCCCTGGTGACAAAAATTTATTAAAAACTCTAAAAATTGCGAGATCTGAGTTATATTTCTTCATATATATATGCACGCAGTCGTACAGTCCAGTCTGGACTACCCAGGTAAAAGTCGACCAGGCAAGTTTTATGCAACAAATGTAAGATCACAGTGCCAGAAGTACAAAGCAACTTTCAGATTTGTTCAGCAGAGATAAGGAAAGAAATTGACATCATTCATCATTAATTCAACACTTCCTTTTAAGTTTTTTTTATTAACCCTATTCCCGCTGGGGGGGGGGGTCAATTTGCCCCCCCCCCCCCAGCGTATCCTGGTTTTCAAGTACCCCAGCGGGGATAGGGTTAAAAGAATTGAGGAAGATTTTTGTTCAAAACATTTTGTAAATTCAAAAACAATTCTATTTTAGGAAATATTTTTTACATACTTTTAATCAACTAATAATAATGTTATATTCAATTAATAAAAATTGTACAGTGAAACCCTTAATAACGAATACATCGGAAGAATTTATCAAATGTCGTCTTGACAAATTTTTAATTAGTTTTATATTACGTAAATTTCAGTATTTGCGAAAATAAATAAATAGTTATGAATATGCGGGAACAGTTTTAAAGAGTTCCATATAATCATTTAATAAATATCTGCAACATTCCATCATCAGAAAGTGAAGAATACGACATTTGATGAATTCTTTCGATGTGTTCGTTATTAAGGGTTTAACTGTAGTTAATATTATCTTAAAACCTTACAATTGCATTTTGTTTACAAAATAAACTAATAACAAAATACTTTTTAAAAAAAATACTTCAGCCATAGTCCCAAACAAAATGGTTTAAACAGTTTTTCTAAAATCATAAAAAACTTTAAGTGACCCGCTATAAAATTATCTTAAAATTAGTGTCCTTTCCATCTTTCTTTTATTTAATCCATGGATCAAAGAATCAACAGAAAAAAAGTAATTTGTAAAAAAAAACTTAACTATACCTCAAGTTCTTTATTAAATAGGTTGTTTTAGTGATTCATATTAATTACTCTAAAAATTGAGGATCTTTTGAAATTACGATTTAAAATATGAAGAAAAATTAACTCTAAAAACTCTTTTTTCGATTGCCTATTTTATATTTCCATGTAATATTATTCTAAAAAGTGTTATTACTCTGCTGTATTTCAACCAATATATATTGTAAAAGAAGAAATTTAAAGAATTTAAAGAGACTTAAAAATGTTTGCAATGGAATTCATATGAAAATATAAAAAATAAAGATTTTAATTTATACCCGTTATATATTTCTGAATAATAAAATTGGATAATTTCCGAATATTATTATTCAGAATTTGAGATCAATGTCTTCACTTTTTTGGGAACAATCCCAGTACGAAAAGTCTTTATGATTTATAGGGAAACTTGAGGGTAGGGATGAATATAAATGGTATATATTATATGATATAGACAAGACAACGTTCAGCACAGTGTACGATACAGATCCCACGGGGGGTTCTACATTTCTTAAAGGGTCAAAAAAATATTGTTAAAACGTCGTATTATTTGGATAATGATGACGGCAATACATAGATTGCCATTGTTTGTTATTTAACCGTGAATTCAATACATTGATTGCCATTGTTTAATATTCAACAGTGTATTTAATACATGAATTGTCATTGTTTAATTTTTAACAGTGTATTCAATACAAAGATTGCCATTGTTAAACATTTAACAGCTTATCCAAAAAATAGATTGCCATTGCTTAATATTTAACAGTGTATTAAATACATAGATTGCCAATGTTTAATATTTAACAGTGTATTAAATACATAGATTGCCAATGTTTAATATTTAACAGTGTATTAAATACATAGATTGCCAATGTTTAATATTTAACTGTGTATTAAATACATAGATTGCCAATGTTTAATATTTAACTGTGCATTCAATACATAGATTGCCAATGTTTAATATTTAACAGTGTATTCAATACATAGATTGCCAATGTTTGTTTTTGAGAATGCATGTAGTTGTAAAATTGCCAATGTTTCACAGTTAACTGCAATTATTTTATTTACAAAATGCATTAAATAGACATTCAGAAATGGAAAAATACTGGATACCAGTAGTAAGTTAGACAACATTTCATATTTTCAATTGGGTTGTCTCTATTACAGGAACTTGTGGATTCTAAATGGAGGGTCACTTGAAATACCAACGACAATCCCTTTAATAGCTTAATAGAGTAGGCATGCTTTTTGAATATCGTTCTATGTATACTGCATATATACAGGGTGAGTCAAAAAAGTGTGATTTGCGGCGCCTGGTGCAAAATTGTACCTTTTTTTGTGCAACTCTCCTGTATGATGTTTATTTTCAATATTTTTTGAAAATTTGTAATTTTTTTTGGTACTCCAATGGTACTCCAATGGCCCAAAAGAAATTCCGCGAACCTTTTTTTCTCCTAAAATCAAGAAAACATGTTTATATAAATTAATTGAAATCTAAAACTTTTTGAAAATTGAATCACAGAATCTCAGAAAATTTGCAAAATTGTAATCAGAAAATTTTCAATTTTTAGTTCTGGTCTAATTTTTAAGGAAAAGTAATTTAAATTGCTTTCTTCTTAGTTTTATTCTAAAGTATTAAATATACGCTGTTCAGTTGAAACCTTAAGAACTATTGAAAAACAATTTTTCTGTAAAAATTATACCAAAACTGAAAATTGCAATTTTCTAATTACAATTTTGCAAATTTTCTGAGATTCTGTGATTCAATCTTTTAAAATTTTTTGATTTCGAAAGAAACAATTTATTTGCACATTTTTGTTTTTCTGAACTTTTGATTTTGAGAGAAAAAAAGTTCGCGGATTTTTCACCAGGCGCCGCAAATCACAATTTTTTTTGACTCACCCTTTATATATATATATATATATATATATATTATCAGGGTGAATATATTAAACTTTACGTATTGATATGAGGGAAAAAGGTTGAAAATTAAATCTACCTTTTTTTAAAAGTATAAAATATCTTCAAATATGAAAAGGCTTTCTTGCAAGATAAATGGGAATACGACAGAATTAAAGTTTATAGGGAATGTATTATTTGTTGGCTTTAAATTCCATTTTTTTTCCATCTAAAATTTGTTAACTTGCCATTACAATATTTTAAAAGGCGACTCCGGAATTTTTTTCTGTTTTACATTCTGCAAAAAAAAATAACATATCATTTTGCCAAAAAAAAAAAATTTCTTTATTAGAAAAGTTAGATAAAAGTTAAATAAAGAAAAGTTTGTTAGACTGGCTCTATTTTTCTTTAGCAGAGTCACATTCATAGCAATATATATTTTCTCTTTTTCTTTTTATCTCTATAACAGAAAATATTTTATTAACAGTTATGACGTTTTTATCTTGGGGTTTGGGGTTAGTTTAGGCGGAGTTAATGATATCTTCAGTATCCAGGGTTGGATCTCTGCAACATTTCAAATTAGTCGCTTCTCGGTCATCAAAAGTTTTATATTAAACTTGTAAAAAAAAACTTTCTAAAAGTTTGATCCAAATGACAAAAAATTCTGTAAATATTAACAAACTTTGGAAATGAAATGATAAATACTAAAAGGAAAAAATATCAGATTACAATAACCAATGATAAAAATAGTTATTTTTTTGTTAAAGTTTAGTAACTTATTCATGACTAGCTGAGGTGCCCTGTGTTGCCAGTGGAATTTTAAAAAAAAATTTGTTTTTGAAAGTTTTGAATTTGTTTAGTCTTGTTACTCCCAGGGTACCCATGAGTTGCCTCAAAAAAAATCGGCAAATTTGGTTTAGCCGTTTAGCCAGCTATAGCTTATATATATATCAGGGACGAGCTTTATTCTGTAGATTAAGAAATATTTTTTTTATTTGTCTGATCAGTGGAATGAATTGAAGGGAGTGACCGGCTGTGTAAGGTAGTTGAACTGATTATGCAGTGTTGTCGAAAACTTCTTTCGGATTAATTTAATAATTTAAAAAAAAACTAATTCTGAAAACGTATTCACCCCCAAAGTAGGAGTTTTGAACATCGAATTTGCGCTCAAACTCAGGATTTACAGATCTTTAAAAAGTTGTATATATATATATATATATATGTCTCAAATGAATCCGAAAGAAGTTTTCCACAACACTGCATACTCAGTTCAACTACCTTACATAGCCGGTCTTTAAGAAAAAATAATTTGAATGTTCCTGTTTTTGATGCTGAGAACCATATTGCAGAACGGACAGGTCACGTTATCACAACCACACTAAAATATCAATAAATTAACGAATTGAGTCTTTGCCACAAACTTTGATTTTCTACTTCCTATATTTTTTGCAACCGAATGCCGTAGACCTTAGATATTTCAAACTATGAATTCTGTTAGATCAAATAATCTAAGTTTACACCATTAGGTTGCTAAGATATAAGGATTAGAAAAGTTGAGTTTGTGGCAAAGACTCAATTTAATTTTCAAGTTTCCTACGGAAAGCTGTGCTGCTATGAATGAATGAAGATGAAAGAAGTGCCCCTGGTGACAAAAATTTATTAAAAACTCTAAAAATTGCGAGATCTGAGTTATATTTCTTCATATATATATGCACGCAGTCGTACAGTCCAGTCTGGACTACCCAGGTAAAAGTCGACCAGGCAAGTTTTATGCAACAAATGTAAGATCACAGTGCCAGAAGTACAAAGCAACTTTCAGATTTGTTCAGCAGAGATAAGGAAAGAAATTGACATCATTCATCATTAATTCAACACTTCCTTTTAAGTTTTTTTTATTAACCCTATTCCCGCTGGGGGGGGGGGTCAATTTGCCCCCCCCCCCCCAGCGTATCCTGGTTTTCAAGTACCCCAGCGGGGATAGGGTTAAAAGAATTGAGGAAGATTTTTGTTCAAAACATTTTGTAAATTCATAGAAGTCTCAAGAGTTCCGCCAAGCCAAACCAAATATAATCAGTTGGTATCAAGTGATCTATCAGTTTAGGCTCTCGAATATTTAGACTAAAATATATAGTTACTGAACCATTCAGCCTCGTTATTAGAGAGTCCGTCCTCACGACTTCTATAATTGATGATTTTACATTTTTCAAAATGAACGAATTTTTTTATTAATTTTTCAAATTACATTTCCAACATTAAAGAAACATTAGCCTCAATTTTTATATCAAGTGACACATATTTAAGAAAAGGAACTGTTTTTTGCCACAAAATCTGATTTGTAATCCCTATAGTTTTGCAAATATTTAGGGCTTACATTATTTGTGGTAAAAAATCAGTTTCTTTACTGGGTCAAGGTGCTCTCTAAGCTTAGATAAAGCCTGTTGATAAATTAAGCTAAAAACAAATGTTTAGTCACAAAATAAAGGTACAATACATGTTTTATAAGACAAGTAGAATCCCGAAGATCTGTAGAGGATTATCTATGTTACTCTGCTAAAAGTTAAAGAATAAAACACCTAACTTGATTCAAAATACAATTTATTTAAAAGGTAGATGGGGGGGCATTTACAGGGATGTAGCTTTGAAGATTAAATCAACCCCCCCCCCCCTCCCCCAACTGTATTTTTAGATGGAAACTCCTAGTTTTCCACGCAACAACGAAAAGTTTAAGAAAACACACAAAAGAGTTGAGTTTTTGCCACAAACTCTGATTTTCTAATCTCTATATCTTTGTAACCCAATGTCGTAGACCTTAGATATTTCAAACATTTAATACTTACAGAATAAATAGTCTAAGTTTGAAATATCAAAGGTTTGCACCATCAGGTTGCAAAGATATTGGAATCAGAAGATTTTAGTTTGTGGCAAAAACTCGATTCCTTTGTCAAATTCTAGTTATGAAAAATTTGGTTCTCATTAAAATTCGGTATGTTCGGAAATATTCCAAAATGCCACTTCTTTTTGACCGGAAAATTAAATTAGAAGTAAACTCTGCCGGTCAAATTCAAATGTTTATTCCTAAAAAAAGTGTGATTGATAATTCTAGAAGTTTCAAGATTAGCAAAAATTCTTTTTATGATAACTATGAATGAAAAACAGGAACAAAAAGAATGAAAATAAAAACTAAAACTGTCTGATTTTAAAATGAAACTTATTATGAACTAGCTGAAGGGCCCGGCGTTGCCTGAGTAAAAAAAATAAAATTTGAAGGGAAAAAAATGTTTGAAAAAAATTTCGATTTTTTTTACCCTATGACAGTGACACCCCCCCCCCGGGCCACCTATGAGTGTCCACAAAAAAATTCAGCCCCAATCGGTCCAGCCGTTTGGCTGGCTATAGGCAACATATATATACGAATGTCTTGTTTTATTATATAGATATTATGAATGAAATGAAAGCTGTGCCTTGGCTCCGACGGGTTGAAAACTTAATTCAACAAAAAGTTTAACATCAAAGAGAAATGTATTATTATTTTATGCTAATCCTCTTCTACAATAATTCCATAAACGAAACTGATAAAATTAGAATTTTATTACAACAGTAAAGTTAAAGCATAATATGTTTAATGTTTATATCAAGCAAAATAAAATTAAATTTAATATTTCATAATATCAATTTTAATTGTTTGTTTTTTTTCCAATATGACTTTTTTGTAATATTTTTTTTATTTCATATTATCAATTTTAATTGTTTGTTTTTTTCCAATATGACTTTTTTGTAATATTTTTTTTTATGTATTTCATATTATCAATTTTAATTGTTTTTTTTCAATGTTACTTTTTTGTAATATTTTTTTATATGTATTTCATATTATCAATTTTAATTGTTTTTTTCCAATATGACTTTTTTGTAATATTTTTTTATATATATTTCATATTATCAATTTTAATTGTTTTTTACCAATGTTACTTTTTTGTAATATTTTTTATATATATTTCATATTATCAATTTTAATTGTTTTTTTACCAATGTTACTTTTTTGTAATATTTTTTATATATATTTCATATTATCAATTTTAATTGTTTTATTCCAACATGACTTTTTTGTAACATTTTTTATATGTATTTCATATTATCAATTTTAATTGTTTTATTCCAATATGACTTTTTTGTAATATTTTTTATATATATTTCATATTATCAATTTAAATTGTTTTTTTACCAAAATTACTTTTTTGTAACATTTTTTATATATATTTCATATTATCGAATTTAGTTTTTTTTTTTCTCAATGTGACTTTTTTGTAATATTTTATTTTGCAAAATGAGCAAAAATAGATTAAGTAGTGCATCTACAGATTACTGCAAACAAGAAGTTAATTGGCAATTCTAAAATAATGTTTAGCACAGAAACCTTTCAAGTTGGAATCATTAATATAAGATTTGGCTAAGCCTTTACATTATATTCCGCCTTTTAATGCTTGAGAATAAAAAGATATGTGGTTCTTATTCTTATCCTTATTCTTAAGTGACTTATTTATTTGAAGAGGGCCGATTCACCTCAATAATGTGGAAGATATCAATAATGCATTATAGTTTCAGTAGAAGTAAATATTTCCATTTAATGATAGTGCCGATTGAAGAATTCATATCTCTAATTGGATAATGAGATAGATAGAAAGATAGATGTTACCGCCATACTATTTCTATTGGTTCAAAATAGACAACAAACACATGACTGAACCCTGATTGGATCAGGCGCTACTTGACTCGGCATACAGGGGTGAATGTGGAAGATTACGTCGTTTTCCAGCTTCAAAAGTGTTTAATTCTGATAATTTTCTCTCATTGTATATGTCAAACAAAAATTCAGTGGAGCCACAAATAATAAAAAACAGTTTTCAAAAACAAAGACATAGATATATAATTCATATTTTTAAGGATCGGATATACCATTCTATAAAAAAGAGTCACTTGAAATTACGAGAACAGTCACTTTAAAGTCCACATTTCCACCCCCCCCCCCCCCCCAAAAAAGGGGGGTTTTGTTTTTTTTACAGGGGGGGGGGGGGATCTCAAGAAATAGGTCTAATTGGCACTTATAGAGTCTATTAATAGAAATAATAGGAAAAGCAATTACTTCTCACAGCTGCTATATAATAAAACAAGACATTCATATATATGTTCCCGATATCCGTCCGAACGGCTGGACCGAATGGGCTGACATTTTTTGTGGACACTCATGGGTAGCCTGGGATTGACATAGGCTAAAATAATTCGAATATTTTTTTCTTCATTTTTTTCCACGGGCAACGTCGGGCCCTTCAGCTATGTTTGATTAAAAGATTGGATGTGCCTACCTCATTAAGTAATGCATATAAATCCGAAATATTTATTGTTTTACCATTTATGAAAATTAAACATTCTCAGTAATAAAACTTTTAATGATGATATTACTAACCATGAAGTAGATACTGCACAAGGGACGTACAATGAACGCATTTAAAACCTTTGGACCTTTAAACACTCCCTTATTCTTATCATGAAAGAGACTGCAGAAGAATCAATTTAAAGTAATCTTATTCACAACAATACCCTTTACAACCTTTGTTTGAATATAAATAAGGAAGATGTTGTCCTTTTTCATCTGAAAATTGATTAGTTTCAAATGTCGTTTACCACCACACTTTCAGTTGAAGTAAATATTTCCATTTATTGTTTAGCGCTGATTGAAGGATTCATAACTCCAATTGGATATTGACATAGCTAGAAAGATAGATGTTACCGCCGTACTATTTCTATTGGTTCAGAATAGACAACAAACACATGACTGAACCCTGATTGGATCAGGAGCTAATGGACTCGGCATACAGGAGTGGAAAAGTGATCTGCAGATTTAAGCAAGCAAGTGGAAAGAATTAAATAGTCAATTTTTAAGATAAAATGAAAACAATTCTTCCTTTTTATTCATAGGGTAATAAAACGAAGAGGTGAAGCCTTAGCTCAGATGTACACAACCAACCTCCCTATTAATTAATTAATAGATTGGTCGGTTGTGTACATCACGATATGTTTACGTATCTAACACTGTACACTTGTTTATAAAGTGATCATATTTCTAAGGGGGATTTATGGAATTGACCAATTTTTAGATTTTCTTTCTTTATTTAAATCCATATTAAGTGTCTAATTATCAATACTAATATTCAAATATCTACAGAAAACCACCACTTAGAAATACGATCACTCTATATACAAGTGTACAGTGTTAGATACGTAAAGATATCGTGATGTATACAACCGACCACTCTTTTAATTAATTAATAGGGAGGTTGGTTGTGTACATATGAGCTAAGCTTCACCTCTTCGTTTTATTACTCTATGTTATTATTGATCTTAATTACGAACGCTGAGAATTTGATATCCGACTCTTCACATGAAATGAAGGGTCCCTTCAAATACTGAACATGTGGTAAATATTAGTACCACATTGAACACTAAAAATATACTTACCACAAGTGTAGAGTTATTAGGTGCACCAAGAGTATTTACCACAAAACTTGGAGTTTCCATATCATTTGTTGCATACAGACTTTGGAACTCAAGATGCCCTGATCTTACTGAAATACATTTAATAATGAATAATATAGGAGGTCCAAATAATGAATAATATTTAGTCAATCAAAGTATGTATACTGTAGGTAATGGAATTATCAATTGTGTATTTAACCATGTATGGCGATAAATGAATATATCTATAAAAAACTCATATATAAGTTAGCTAGACACTATTGTTTCAGTAGAAGTAAATATTTCCATTTACTGATAGTGCCGATTAAAGGATTCATAACTCTAATTGGATAATAAAGATAGATGTTACCGCCATACTATTTCTATTGGTTCAGAATAGACAACAAACACATGACTATACCCCGATTGGATCAGGCACTAATGGACTCAGCATACCGGAGTGTAGAGCTGGCCAAACGGCTAGACCAAATTGGCTAACAATACATATTTTAAAATAAATTAAAAATGTTCTTCAAAGTTCGAAATTTTTGTTTCAAAATTCGTTTTTTTTTTAATTATGAATTTTTTATTTGTGTTTTAAAAAAATCCATGGGCACTTGAGCTAGTATAATATATAAATAAATACCTATATTTTCATTTGTTGGAATATGTTTGGGAAGACGGAATTCATCCTGAAACAGTGAAAACTATCAAATTAAAGAATATCAAAGATCGGAGTATTTTTAATCCCTTTAGAAAGGACTAATCCGTTACTCTTGTAATCCGGCAGATTAAGCACTGACGGTCTGAAATTAAAGATTTGCTGTTGACTAACAAAGGAACTGCTAGAAAGTAGAAGATCAGAGTTTGCGACATCAAAGACTCAATTTTTTAAGGATTTACTTTAACCACTTCAAATAAAACACAGTTCAGTTACTGTGGATACGGATTAACTCAGTGAAAAGTTTCGAACTCCATTCTTTTCATAATATTTGTCATATTTTTTCTTACTATTATTTATCTATATAAAGTTGTAATCTCTGTTTGGGTGTTTGCTTGTTTTTCCATCATAACTCAGGAACCCCTGGACCGATTTTCCTCAAATTTTAATTTGAGAACTTGGGAGCCCACGGAAATGTTCTTAGCTTGATTTTACGATTCTAAGTTGAATAGGTCGACTTTAATAGCGAACATTTAGTTTCACGGTAAAAAAGTTCGGGTAAACGGCGGGAGCAACTATCTATCTATCTATCTATCTATCTATCTATCTATCTATCTATCTATCTATCTATCTATCTATCTATCTATCTTATATTTATCTATCTAAATTACCTTCTTCTTGTGTAGACCCTTTGTCCTTGTTCTATCCTCCGGAGGATTAGAGGAGCATCTTTTTACATCTGTGGCCTTTTTAACCTTTTTAGGGACCTCGGGGGACTTTTTTAGGATACCATGGTGAACTCGGTCCTTAGGGGACAGAAGGGGCTCCTGAAGAAAAAAGTTTCGATAAGAAAGAGTTTGTATTATGTTATAATGCCACGGAACGTTAAGTAAAAACAGAATCACTGAACCTGGTTTGTATGATGTTATAATGCCGCGTAACGTTATGTAAAAACAGAATTACTGAAGCTGGTTTGTATTTGTCCAAGCTCACTTCTTCTAAAGATCGGAATTAAACCTTTCTAAATTTATTATTTGAAATTACAACTAAATAGTGTAGGGTTAAATATTTTTCTGGATTCCTTTTCAAGTTGTAAAAAGGTTTATTTAAGAAATTCTAAAACATGTTTAAAAATGACTTTTTCTCACAAAATAAAAATGGGCGTCGGAAATGGTTTTTTTCAAGTCAATAAAGAGCAGCTTTTAGTTTCACTTGTATTGGTGTTTTTTTCTCACTTGTATTATTACATTAAACCCATTTGAGACGACCACTTTTAAATGAAGTGTTTGAGAAGCTTGAAAGGGGTATTGGCCTTTAGGTTTCAATATTTCATGGATTTAACTTTGAAGAGACGCCTAGCGGCCAAATAATCGTTGTTAAAAGTACGTTCTACATAAAAAAAAATATTAATAAATATCAACTTTTTACTAATGCATCGAATCGAATAATATCTAGCTAATTAGTTTTAAATTTAATTGGCTTATTTACAGTTCAGGTGGTAAAATGCAACTCCATGGTTTCTACGCTCAGGAGTATACAAGACGTGTTTAACCATGTTTCCTGACAATATGAGCCTATACCCTCTTTAATTTTTCGCAAATTCTCCCTTTAATTTGCGTAAAAATCATTTCACTTTATAAGTTGATTTTTAAACTCTGATAAAACTTTTCCTTATTTCATTACTATAGGCCTCACTGTTTATAGTTACGTCTAAAAAAATCAATATGATGGATAAAAGGGTTTTTTTCTTGTAAAAAGAAAAAAGAAAGAAAAATAAATTCATTTTTATTCAATTTTGTAGAATAAGAATGAATATCTTTTGTGCAGAAACATTATATGATTATTTGTAAGATATAATCTAACAATTCTTTGTATACATTTTATTTGTGGTAGAATCTGCATTGAATTCTGTATTTGTAACAATGTACATGAAATATGGGGACAATTCCAGGCTTTAATGGAGTATATACAAAGTATATACAAAGTTTACAGTTTATAAAGATAGAGTAACATAGTTGTTGCCTAAACTATGTTTTTTTTAACCCATACTTGCCTCTAAACTATTTACATCTGCTTTACAGTTCACTTATTTTTCCGAACATCTTATTTTTTTCAAATGTTAAATGAAAGACAGAAGAGTTTTTATATTGAAAAATGCCACTTGGGAAAAGCCCTCAGTAAAATGACATTTGGGACAATGCTGTTGGGAGAACACCTTAGTGATTAATTATTTCATGTTGTGTTCAATCCGTACAATTTGCACAGGGATTATTCCATGCAGCTCTCAGTTTCTGTTAGCTGGGTAACCACATCATGTTGTATTCTATATGTATAATTTTGCGTCAGTATTACTCAATGTTCCTCTCAGGTTCTGTTTGCTGGGTAGCTACGTCATGTTGTGTTTTATCTGTAAAACTTGTTCTGGGAATACTCAATGAGCATTTTCAGTTTCTGTTTGCTGGGTAACTACACCATGTTGTATTCTATCTGTACAATTTATTTTGGGATTACTCTATGCACCTCCCAGCTATGTTTGCTGGTTAACTACACCATGTTGTATTCTATCTGTACAATTTATGTTGGGATTACTCTATGCACCTCCCAGCTATGTTTGCTGGTTAACTACACCAAGTTGTATTCTATCTGTACAATTTATGTTGGGATTACTCTATGCACCTCCCAGCTATGTTTGCTGTTTAACTACATCATATTGTATACTACCTGTACAATTTATGTTGGGATTACTCTATGCACCTCCCTTGAGACTAGAAACTTGGCTCTCAAGTTTTATTTAAACTTAGAAAACTAGAAGTCTACAATTTTATTACGCTTTTACTTTTCACTCTTTATATACCAACTACAATTAAATAAGGCCTGACCATTTAGAATAAAATGAACAAGTTCTTTGCTTTTATATTATTTTATATTCCTTAATTTTAAAAGTTGCCAAACTGGATATCGTGTTGTAAATCAATGTTATTTCACAAATAACGTTTGTTCTCTAAATTCAAATGTGTTTAAAACTTTTTCTTTTCTTGTCCCATGGTTAATATATGCTCAAGTATTTGTTAAACATAGTTCAGAATCTTGTCCCATGGTTAATATGTTCAAGTATTTGTTAAACATAGTTCAGAATCTTTGCGGGTAAAATGTTAAAAGTAAAAAATTCCCCCTCCCATTTATTTTAGGTTTTCCTTCTAGAGTTTTCCAGAGAAAACTTTGGATTTTGTATAAAACACTAATTACAAACTAGAACATCAAACATGAGAATTAAATTTTTTAACAATTTATTTAATTCTTATTTAGGCAAGAATTGAATAATATCTTTTTATTCAGAACTGGTTTTTTTAAAATTTTAGTTTATTTTCTCTAAATCACAAATTTTCTGATTTCTGAAAAATGAAAAGTCCAGAAAAAATGAAAGATAAAGAATACCTGAGAATGGATACTAATAGCGTCAACACTTCCAGGGTCTTCCTTCAGGTCATCTTTGCCGGACATATTAGTTTAATCAGATTTCTGAAGATAGATAATTTTCAAAACTAAACTAAACAATTAAGAAATAAGTAAAAACCATCTTTGAACTGGAAAATATTTTGTCATTATATTCACAAAATATTTCTTTAAAAAAGTTCCAATTGTACGCTATACTTAAGTAAATTGCATGTCACATTATAATCTAAAATGTTTTCAATAATAACACCTCCTAGTGAAGAGTTACAAAGTACTAAATTGGTATAAATATTTTATATATGCCCTGATAAAATCAAGACTATAAGAGCTACAAGGTAACAAAGTTGTACCAGTAAAGTCGCATAAAGTTTACCTTCTCATTTATGTCTTGTTTATTGTGTTATACCTCCTATGTAACCTTGATAAGAACGTTGAGATATATGCTTTTAAGATTCAAAGATGAACTACAAGTTGTCTCTCAGTTTAGTTTCAAATATCTAAGGTCTACGACGTTGGATTGCAAAGAAATAGGTATTAGAAAATTAGAGCTTGTGCCAAAGACTCAATTCCTTTAGTTGACTTCATGAAAAGTCATTTTTCAATATATGTAGATTTTGTAAATGATGTTGTTGAGAGAATTTAGTATTTTTTGTAAACCAGATCTTTTACCAATTGAAGATATTGTCGTTTTTCTAGGTTTTAAAGTTTTCAATTTTGATAAATTTTCCTACAGTAGAAATTAGCAAATCAATTTTGTATCAAATTATAAACATTGTTGTTGTAAATAGAGCATTGCAATTTTTGCACGGAGGATCACTTGAAATAACGCTTACAGTCCCTTTTAGGGGCTTGGTATGAATAAGCTCTGCTTAGGGGGGGGGGGGATTATACTTAAAATTATACTGCACTCTAGTTTAAGATTGCACCACAGTCAGCTGTAAATTACATTTGAATTTCCGAGCCAGGTCAACTTTTGCCGGTCCCAGTTTGTACTGTATCGCCCGGACATTGGGTAAATAAAGCAGACACTCAATAGGACACTGTTAGATTTACTTTTACTGAAGGGTCAGAGGTGCGTGGCACAGGCATATCCTTATGAATTGTAAGTTTTAGTATTGCTGCAGTTGCAAAATTACGTCAAATAAATACGTGAAAGCTAGAAGCTTAGCCAGATATATAGAGTTGAATCTACCTTCAGTTTGATGAAACACTTGGAAGTTTTAATTAAATCAAGTTTACAGGTAAATTAGAACAATGATTTTCTGTATACAAATCCTTAGTATATATCAGGAATACGCAATCACATCACCATAGTTTCAATAGAAGTAAATATTTCCATTTCCGATTGAAGGATTCAGAGCTCTAATTGGATAAAGAGATAGCTAGAAAGATAGATGTTACTGCCATACTATTTCTATTGGTTCAGAATAGACATCAAACACATGACTGAACCCTGATTGGATCAGGCGCTAATGGACTTGGCATACAGGAGTGACATAGATCCAGAAGACATACCGGGTCGATTTTGAAGCGTCCCAATGCCTTGTAGCCCTAGATTAGTAAATTTTAGAACTGAAGTGCACTTTCTTCAAAATATCTATGCAGCCTGATTATTTAAACCATTAATATTTCAAACTATGAAACCTCTTAGGTGAAATACTCAAAGTTTGAAATTGTCCCCATCCGGTGTCAAAATTAAAATTTATGTCCCTATTCTGGAAATTAGTGTTCATATTGCCATATCGCTGGTCGAGATTAAGACACAAGGTGAAGTTGATATTTATGCGAAAAACAACTTTGCGACCTCATAGCTCACGAAGTTTTTATTTATGCGACAAGGCAATTTTGCGACCTCATAGCTCATGAAGTTTATATTTATGCGACAAGACAACTTTGCGACCTGATAGCTCATGAATGTTGACACATTAGCAATTCAAAAGATTCATCGATAGCTTTGAAATAAGAGGGTCCCTGGGTTAATATATGCTCAAGTATTTGTTAAACATAGTTCAGAATCTTGTCCCATGGTTAATATGTTCAAGTATTTGTTAAACATAGTTCAGAATCTTGTCCCATGGTTAATATGTTCAAGTATTTGTTAAACATAGTTCAGAATCTTGTCCCATGGTTAATATGTTCAAGTATTTGTTAAACATAGTTNAATTTACTTTAGTTTGACGTGGTTGGAATTTACTTTAGTTTGACGTGGTTGCAATTTACTTTAGTTTGACTTGGTTGGAATTTACTTTAGTTTGACGTGGAACAGGATCCAAAATTGATGATTTATGAGGCTGAGTGTAATTTCTGCACCAAATCACAGAATCTGAGCCAACTCCCCCTGTAATTGTATTGTAGACTGTAAACAATGATTCTTATATTCTTTTATTTTCTCCATCAATTGTTTAAAAGCTCTTTACTGTTTGTTAACTGAAGAAGGTTGCAGTTATTGTTTTCTCAGCTTGAACCGGCCAGATCTCTTGTTACCCTTTTAATAACATTTAGTAAATGTCGAAAGATGGTTGAACTGCGTAGCTTGAACCAGTCCACACGGGAAGTGGTTAAACTACGTCTACAATGTTCAACTTTTCGTTTTTTAAAAATCTGGTCCCAGACTCCCCTCACTATCCCCCACCCCCCTCCATCAACCAGTTTTGTTTTACATGTAACCTAATACTATCCCCCTTTCTTTTTTACTTTAAAATAGATTAATTTTTCATAAACCAGATTTTTCTTTCTATTTGAATCAGATTTAGTTTAAACTCTTTTTAATGTTTTAATGAAGCTTTGTTTTTCTTTTAAAACTTAAAACAAACTATTCTCATTAAATAACTTACAAAAACAATGTTCAGTAAAGATGCATAGTAAGTAATCATTTATTTATGAAAAATAACAAAAACATACAAAATTAAGTGTTTAATGAGAAAATATTTGAAAACCTCCAAAAATAGATGTTATGGGAATATTTCCCCCCATTCTAAAAAAATAGAAATAAAAGAAAAAGGAAAGTTACATATTTATTGTTTACATATAATCTAGTGGTGGATTGTTAGTATTTTTTTACGATGAACTAACAACTTTTAGAAATAAAAATTATAGATTTATTTGTAATGTTTAAAAAAATTAAAATAGGCTTCATGGGTTCTGAAAATGTGTAGGTTTTACACAAAATGGGCATTTTAAAGCATCTTTTAATTTGCACTGATTTTTGACATCCTTTATCTTTTACTCTTTTTAATCATTTTAGTCTTTGGTTTCTTCGATTCTTTTGCAAACATAGCATGTGTTAGAATTAAAACATTTGTTCTGCTGATAAAAAATCTTCAATTAAACTCTGTTTAAAATTCGAAATAAGATTGATATTTGAAAGCTTTGAAAAGTGTCGTTTATTTTCATACCATATTTTAAGGAAATTGTGAGGGGGGAGCAGTCCAATTTTAATAGATTTTACTCTAGGAATATAAAAATCATTTCTGTTTCTAAGATCTGCGTTTTTGATATTTTTCGATAATGTGAGATCTTTTTAAATGTTAGTGGTAAAATTAGTCTTTTTTAAATTGAAATAAAAATTTTATAACATTAATTCAAAACATAATTTTAAGTCTCCTCTTCACGTTAAGCTAGAGGTGCCGGTTAAAAGTCTGTACTAATCTAGCCCATCTCTCCTCACTTAATCTTTATGGCTAAACTGCCTCTAACTCTAATTATCAGTCAACCCTGACTGCTGTATGGCTAAACCGCCTCTAACTCTAATAATCAGTCAACCCAGGCTGATTCCGTCTCTACTGAACGAGAGTCTGTATTCAACTGATTTATTTCTAAACATGGTTATACGGGCCGGTGTGACCGGCCAGATTACAAAAGCTAAAGATAGAATTATAATGCAAAATATGATTAGCACAGAAAAGTAGATAGTTAGAGATACAGCTACTGCAGAATTCGTTACAATTCTAGTAAATCTTTACTTTAGATTTTCACCCTTTTTTCGTTATGTTTGTTGTTATATTCTCTCCTGTTTGACTTTTGTTTTTGATATTTAAATATAAAGGTTTTTTACAATATTTTAGTCAGATTTTGAATGAGAGATAAAAAAATGACATAAAATATTCCAAAATAGATAGGATGCACTTTGCAGTAGATATTTCTTCTTCTTCTTCTTCTTCTTCTTCTTCTTCTTCTGCTTCTTCTTCTTCTTCTTCTTCTTTTTCTTATTCTTCTTCTTTTTCTTCTTCTCCCCCTCCTTCTTCTTCTTCTTCTTCTTCTTCTTCTTCTTCTTCTTCTTCTTCTTCTTCTACTTTTTCTTCTTTCTGCTTCTTCTTCTTCTTCTTCTTCTTCTTCTTCTTCTTCTGCTTCTTCTTTTTCTTCTTCTTCTTCTTCTTCTTCTTCTTCTTCTTTTCTTCCCTGAATACGTTTAAGCAAAGTTTATATAACAGCCTCTAGTCTTGTACAATGTAAATGAGTAAAGAACGTTGTATCAACAAAACAAAGTTAAAAATAGAAAGTTTGTTTTTTATTTAGCAAAAAAAATATATTCATTCTTTATTCCCTAATCATGAACTTTTTTTAAAGAAAATTACATAGGAGGTTGACTTTTAAGAATGAGCTTAAACTCGGAAAATGTACCTTTTTTATAAAATATTTTTTCATAACTCAATCATTATTTTGAACGTTCAATAGTAAAAAGTGTTGTTAATTCTTTAGAATATGGGGATCCCACTCGTTGAAATTACCGCTGCCAGCCTCTTAGGCGCGCATAAATCCAATAATCTTTCTGCATAATTTTTCTCAACAAATTGTAATTTCTCATAATTAGAAACAAGTTGGATAGTGCAAGGAACTGCAATCCAGACAGCAGGAGAAGGTCAAAAAGGCAATATAACAGTTACGACTTTGTGATCTCGTATCTCCTCGAGATTTGTCCGGTTACATATTAAAAATTCAAAACGTTTTGTTTTTCATAATAGCTTTTCAATAAGAGCTAAGAGTTTTGATTTAGAATATACTATAGCTGAAAGGCCCGGCATTGCCCGTGGAAAAAAATGATGAAAAAAAATTTGAAGAAAAAAAATCGATTTATTATATGCTATAACAACCCCCGGCCACACCCATGAGTGTTCACAAAAAATTTCAGCCCAATCGGTCCAGCCGTTTGGCCAGCTTTAGGCAACAGATATAT